AAAAAATGTAAAATACTATGCATAAGTTCTCTCTGGATACAATATTTATAAATCATTGAAGTTAAGTTTGAAGTAATCCAAAGGGCTTATTCGTAAAGATATATACATATATATATGTATATTTTTTCGTGGATATCAGATAACTATGCTATTATACATGATTAACAATATCTATCCTAATATGTTTTATAACAATGTCTTTGTAGAATATGCTGCACTTGATTCTTGCAATGGATTCAAGAGGTGCAAATTTAAATACTTATATAGTCTAATGAACTTTCGCAATCTCACATTAATGTCATGTCATTATACGCCTAGGCGGAAAACTTCAAGATATCAAACATCTTGTCAGCCAAAAAGAAATCAAGAAAGGAAACTTATTTGTAATATACATTGTATAGCTATACATGTAGGTCTGATTTAGTTATTTAACACATCACTCAATGCTTGAAAGAGTACAGTACCGATATTCCGATACATTTACAGTACAACCTGGCTCCGCCCTCACTAACGGCCGTGCCGTAAAACATATTAAATGCCGCTTTCACACATACGCCGCTCTAGCGGTACGCAATGGTACTAAATTGAATCATATGCGGGACCTACTGTCTTTATTATGCGTTACTTTGGACTCAAATGCACTTGAATTGCTTGTAAATATCATTCCTTTCCTTGGTAGAACCTATGACCTTATCACAACGTCGTATTCTTCTTGAAAATGCACCATGTTTATCTCAATCGGGAACTGCCACTTGACTGTAGGTCATGCATGCTACACACAACTTCCGGTAAAATATTTAAGTTGATGAGCTCAGATACTCATAAACGAGACGTACGTCACCTACCAGTAATACTAAGCAAACTGCAAATAAAATCCATTACCACGGACTCCAGTTCACTCAAAAGTCATTGGATATAATCTTATTCTTAGTTAGAACTAAGTATCCTTCTACAACTTCGTATTAGCCATTACACGGAAATAATGTCCTCTGATTGGCTAAAATGTGTGACTCTTGCATTTCGCGTGGTTAGAGCTATGAAGCGGTCCTGTTCCAACTAACCGAGGAAAATCAAAAGTGCTAATCTGTTATTATATATATGTTTCACGCCTCATATGAGTATAATGTTATCAAAATATTGCATATTTGTTGAAATAACAAATCCTCACTAAAACTCTAAAAACAGAAACGACTGCCATGTTAGATCACGCGTGATGTTATCGCAAATACCCGTTTCCTTATATGGCCTTCACGGCTGAATATAGTATTACTACTGACGCCGTCATGTTTACTACAATTTCCATATTTGGTCATGACACTCATATTTAGACGTCTGACCTATATCGAAGACGGACGAAGTTTCCAACATGGCAGTTAATTCAGATTTCGATTGCACTTGCTACGTAAACTTGATAATTAAACGACATATAAGACAGTGTATAACTTAAAATTATGTAGGAGATCAACAGAACAAGTTCATATTACAAACCTATTCATGGATACGGATCCTGTCAATTAATTCTAAAATCACCCCCGTGTGATTCACGCCAGGCTTGCTCAACTAAAATGGGATCGCCCGGCCGGGTATTATATTAGTACTCGCCCCTGGCCTACTCTAGTTCCATATTGGTATTCTAACCTGAAGGCTTTTTTACCTTCGCAGTATCATCATTTTGTTCCATTTTCATCATGATATTCTATTGCTTTTTTATATCAATAAAAGATGAGGTGTCACAAACGCCTGCTCGCTAATTACAGCTCGGCCAGAAATGAAAAATATCGGCCTACATTTTGTATGTCTGTTGGTGTGATTTGTGTATTTCATTTATTCAAGTATTATCATATAACAGGAATTTTTTTCAATATACACAAAAACAACAACAAATGAATACTTGAGGAAGATAAATCTATTTCGCGTTCGGAATGATTTGTGACATGTACTACGGGAAAACCCGAGTGATCACCCTTACATTAAGCCTAGACATGCACACATTTTACTTTCATTTTGTGTAGGCCTAGACATCATTCGCAACGCGAAGCGGAAAAGACGAAAATGCAGGCGAGTGTTGACTTAATGTAAGGCATGTTGTTTAAGCAGCATTGGCAATGAACTATATGCATACACTTCTGCAACGTTTACCTACAACTGATTCATAAATAAGGTTCTTGATCCCGATTTCGGTGACTTGTGGCCAAGCATTCGGCCGAAGCCGCAGAGAATGGCGCATGTTGTCAGCGGCGATGACAAAAAGGAAGGTGCTTCATCGGTATGTATAGCAGTAATTACGCAAAAACAAACAAATAAATGGACCTTTTACACTAGTGAATAACAGCGTCAACAGGAACGTCTTTCTCCAGACGTGTTGCAAAGTTTTCGAACTAGGCTAAGTTGAAACTGATTTCACTTTGAGCGTTGTTTGTGAGGATATTTGGTCTTGCATTTCTTCTGATTCAGTTGGGAAAAACCCATATTATAAACATTGTATTATTAGATTCATTGTGATGTTGGCTGTCATTGAAGTTTTAAATGTTATACTACTTGACGTTTTGGAAACTTAAAAAAGTATAGTAGTTCTAAATATTAAAAATATCTTTACTGAGCTTATAAAGAGCAGGAGTTCTGACTTTAACAGTACATATAAAAACTTAAGGGTATTGTAGGCACTCAAATCTAAGATAAGTCGGGTTAGCCACAGGTGCCGGACACACCAATAAGTAAAGGTTATTGCATGGTTTTCGAGTAACAAGGGATTTATTACACCCGAGCGAAGCGAGGGTGTAATAAGTCCCGAGTGACGAGAAATCATGCAATAACTGGCTTACTGCATGCTTCCCAACTGGAACAAAACAGAAAAGTTGAGTAAAAAATGTTCACCTGGACAATCTTTTTACCTACCCTACACTGCAGATAATTAACATGTACATATGTGAGCGAGTACTAATCATAACCAGGTAAGATTCTCAATAGCCCAGTCTGAGTGTATCCTTCATAATGGATACAAGTGTTTTTGGATTACTATCCAGGTCCAGTGTCAGGGAAGGTAAGGAGTGTCTGTTCAAAATATGGGAAACAATGTTGAATTTCTGACTACATTTTCAGTTTAATTTTCAAGATGTGGCAAAGGTACAGGATATTGAAACCATTTTCATATATACAATGTAAGGGTTTATCAATCCCTAAGGGATTCCAGTTCTTTCAATGAATGGTATATTTGAATGTGCAATTTTGTATAAAGGAACAGCTCCTTAAGATTATAAACTTTTCCGGGAAATGCTTATCCTCTCACGTGATAAAGAAATCTGTTTGTGTTTTTCAATCATGAAATTACCATTTTTAACTTTCATTTTTTCCCCTTATTTGAAATGTGTCAACTAAGTTTATCCTCTACTGTATTGACTTCATCGTTACTCACTGATTGATTATCTCCCCTTTCTTACAGCATTTGTGGCCACAGTCCACTGGGCACACCCCCTTTCATGGCCATGTAATCATGATTGGCCTTGAAAGGGGATTATGTGTGCAGTGGACTGTGGTAGCAAGTGATTTATTGCCCACACTTTTCCATTGTGAGAGGTGGGAAGTATGCAGTAAGTAATGTGTGTATACGTAATATATTATAATTTATACACATCATATTACTATTAGTGTGTCCAGTATCTGTGGGGTTAGCAGAAACATAATATTTGTTTTAATTGGCCTTATTTAATGATCATTAATAGGTCACACAGGGTTCGGTTTCCAATTCGGAAACTAGGCTTGTTAAAACAGTTATCATTTATAACTTTAGAGATAAAATAGTTCTTAGCAGAAAAAATCGAAATATAATTATTTTTCAACCTTTTCTGAGTTATACAATTTTAAAGTATCTTCTGTCTGAAATCTGAACATAACTTGTTTTGTGACAAAATGTGTAATAACATCCTGGGGTAAAGTTTTTCTATATAGTCCCAAAAACTACAGATAAAGTCCTTAAGCACTTACAAGATACATAAATATTCATTTTACGTCAATTTTGCAAAACATACAACATAAGCTACAAAGAGCTGTAAGCACAGAAATAGAGTTTATCACCTGTAAAGCATTTTGCACATAATAGGCACATTGCACACGGTTAGCACATCAGCACATGGTAATTTAAGCGCATTTAGAACATTTGCATACAGCACATAAAAAACAAAACCATCACATGGAAAGCTTATTAGCGCATAGTAAGCACATTTAAACACTGTAAGCAAAATAAAGGAGTGCAATGGACATCTCCATGTTTCCTGGTTAATTTCTTCTTTCTGGAAATAACCAGGGGAGAGTGATGTTCTGCTTCATCTTTTGTATTAATGAAAACCGTGAATATCCAAGTGCGTGTGTTTAAACTGTCCTTTTTCTTTACTGTTGTTCAAGAAAATATTTCCTTCTTTTTCCACAAGAGTACTGTTTCAACTTTATCAGGCTTTTCAATTCGAAGGCTAATATATAAAAAGAGAGATTTTTATTTATTTTTTACTGTTACCTTTTTTATGTACACACGTTTTACCATCTAAGAAATTAGTTTAGGTGTCTTAAGCCCCCATGAGATGTGCTGTTATAAGTTGACTTTTATGTACATTTTGTTCATATTTAGTTCTGCTACCAAAGAGATTGACTTATTGAAATGTTTGTGAAACATTTAATGAACTCCTCAGCTTTAATGCCTTATTTCTCACTATACTAGCTCATATTGATATGCCTCCTATTTGTTTAAATATTGTCTCTAAACATTATTATTGCTGGTGCAGAAATTATATGGTGACTATGTTCTATTTTAGGGGGGGNAAGGAGGATGAGAAATAGGAACTGAACCCACTCTCTCATTCCTTTGAGGACTTCATGAACTTTTTCAAAACGCTGCAAGAACTGTACCAACAGTGACATGACATTTTGAAGTCTGTCAGTTACTGTATAGAGAAGGAACCTCTGACTAAATCATTTTCTCTCAGACACATGACAGCCGAGTCCACTGATCCTTCCATCAGCGAATAGTTCAAATGTAGTTCAAATGCTTTCCTTGCAAACTTTTCATAAATGGAGAAATCTTTGCTTGGGACAGATTGAATCTGTAAATATTGATGCTGAAAGGCTGATGAATGTGATTGAACAGCCCCTACTTGATGTTTGAAGCCTGATGTATGTGATTGAACAGCCCCTACTGACTAAAGGCACAAATGTTGGAAACCACGTTTGTTTTGATCAATATAACACCATGGGAGGTGGGAGCAAATTGGAAAAAACATAAAAAAAATATGGTTTTAAAGATAGAAATACTGGTCATGGCTTCCTACTAGTTTTTGTCCAGTGAATTAAAAGTCAATGCAAATGTTAAGCAGTAAAAGAAATGTAAGATCCCTGGTATACATTGTACTTTTAACAATGCTTATGATCAATATCAATAAAATAAAATAAAAGTTATAATATGTAACTTGATGTTTGTTAATTTCGCTTGATTTTACCGTGTCCAACATTTGATATTAAATATTGTGTGATATATGAGAGGAATTGCACACAAGATTGTATCTTGGCTATGTCAATGAAAGCAAATATTTCTTAAGTTTTCAACCATATTTCTTGAAACTTAATTTCAAAATTTCATACATGAATTGTTCAAGACAGTTTTAAAGTCAAGTGCATACACTCAAGGTGAAGGCTACAGTTTCTCAACCTGTACATGTACATGTGACCGAGAAATTGTCAGTGCTTTCCTAACTAAGTAATCAAACCAAATTTTATAAAACTTGCTACATCATTCTGAACATTAAATCATGCACTACTTGTTTGCATATACACATGCAACCTCAACTTTCAATAAGTTTTGTTGTCAACAATTGTTGCACAATGCTATCAGTTCTGAAACAAACAATAATGACAACTGTAATAACATAGTATGTGTTCTAGCTGGTACATTTGCAGTACTCTTTTGAAAAAAAAGAAGGAAATTAATATGTGCATCTTATTTCAAATGCTAGCCTTTGAAGATGATAAAACTGAACATATGCTATAAAGCTGTGTTTTTTTGGGAAGAATTTATGTAATGGAAATAGAGGGAAAATAATGTAACTCTCCTAAGCTTGTGTGTGTGTGGGTATGTATGTTTATAATTTGTTTATCTTATTCAATATTGAAACATGCAACAATGTATCATATTGTATTAGAGTGCTTTTTATCTTATTTGTTTCTAGGAACACAGATGCAAAATAATTCCATTTTTCATAAGAAGAGACCTTTTCACTGCAGTGAATATGTAAAACACTGTATTTAAAAGCTTTTCAAAAGTATTGAGAGACTTGTAAATGTATGGGTAGCAGTCATCCACTTGTCTACCCACAATTTAGTTTCAGCAAGTTTACATCCTTAAATATTGTAACAATATACAGACTGATGCAAAATTGAAACTTGAACAAAATTCATACGTATTAAAAAGAATGCATACCCTGGTCAATGTCCACACTTTACAAGATAACTTGCTTGAATATATATTGATCAATATACAAACTTAGGCGATAAGTTCAAAGTTGAGTGAAATCGATGCATAATTAATTAGCATACTGTACTCTGATTGGTCAATGGGTTTTGCCTAATAACTTTGTCAGATAAAGCAAGATTCTGAAGAAACTTGGTTGATATCTTATTCAACAACAAAGGCAAAGTTTAAAGATTAACACAATCTGTGCATATTCTATTTAATGGTTTAAAATATGCCAGTTTCAGTTTTTAATGTTTGAAATATGGACAAAGGGAAGCAATTCCTAATTCCTTTGCAAATGAACTATCTAAAGGTCTAAAATGATATATTCTATAGGAAACTTGGTACCCCTCTTCTGACAAATCTATCAAGATATACTGTACGCACAAGAAGAATAACTTCACAGTGGTACACTTTTACATAAAACTATGATTCATAACAAATTAACAGTCAACCCCTCTGTACAATATGATGGGAACTTCGTCTTTATTTTGTTCTCCATTCCAAAAATAATATATATATACCTTTTGCCTTAGCTTTCAGTACTTTCAGTACTTCGATTACTTTTTATGGTAGCTATGGTTGTGCTGTGATATCGTACAGGTAATCAATGAAAGGAATAGAGCACATATGTATTACTAGTATGGTTGCTCTTTCGTAGGGGTACCATAGGAGAACAGACTGTCATAGCCCAATTTAGCAATGTTTTACAAACAGTGATACATTGAAGAATATATCCAATGGTTCTGATTTAGTGTCCAGCTAAACTGTAGATTCTCCTTTATGCAATAACCTCACCTTAACTTCCGTTTTGATATGAATGAAGCACAGGTCACTTCCGTTGACCAGGGAGCTCAATCGGTTAGAGCGATGGTATAACAATCAGAAGGTCAGGGTTCGAATCCCGGTCTGACCCCGCTGAATTTTTACACTCAGAGCACTGTTCTTGAATTACATTTGTTTATTTCCTTATTATTTTCCCTAAAACTTTCGCAACGTTTTGTTTTCTGTAGATATGTCTGAAAAATTAGTTTCCAGTACATATTAACACTTGTTGGCAGTGATACGGGGATCCTGATATGGTGTTACATTTAACTGTTTCTCTATGATGGTAGAACTGTCGAAGTAAACACCTTTGTTCATAACCAACGTGAGTGCCTATTAAGTTTGTTGCCCCTTGAAATTTCAATTGATAAACAATGTACCCAAAAAACATTTCTTACTGTTGTAGGTAGAACAAAACTTGAGCCTATTGCCATCATTATTCTATCTGTGATTATGAGTTTTGCTTCCCTCCAATTAATCCGTGAGTCTGTGGAGATGGTATTTGGCTTACACGATCTCAGCGCTGTCCCTCCAACGGTCGACATTACTACCATTGTCATCACAGGGTCAGCAATAGGTAAGGATAACCAGCCTCAGACCTACAGTAGTGCAAGAAACTCCTCGTCTTTCTATAGTACAGGGGTAAAATGCACTTTGATAAGGTTAAGTGTAAAAGTAAAGTCCCTCCACTCCCTCGCTTATGAAAAACATGGGTATGTCATTCAGTTTCCTTTCAGTTTTTTTTTTAATCGATGTAATTGAAACAAACAACGGGTAATATATTCCGTATCTACTGGCATGTCACGTTACCAAAGCTGCATGGTCGTATGCTATTGTAGCGATTGTCAATACTTTACAAAACATCAAGTTACAGTAACGTTATAGTTAACCGACAAAGCGGCATTACCGGCGATAATGTGTATAAATGAGTACTTATGTACCTGGGAAAACAACAGACAACATATTTAATTTATTTTTTCATAAATTAATGGACCGTTTTGGTGATGATCGTTGGATGTTACAGTGACTAAGCTTGTCCTATTCCTACTCTGCCGCCGTATACGCAGTCCAAGCGTGCAGGCTCTGACCCAGGACCACAGGAACGATGTTGTCTCCAACAGCTGCGCTCTAATCTTTGGCTACCTAGGTATGTCTGTTTAAGAGCTACATATCTATTCAATTCCCTTTACGTAAAACCAACGTGGATAAGTTTAACGAAAAGGTTTATCTGAAGTCTTAGAATTATGAAGTTTAATAGTACATCACAAACCGCCTTTATAGTAAGATTATAACACAAATATGTGTAGGGATTTTGAACACAAGTCATTCTTCAAGTTTAGCAGAAAATGGTAGCTGGATCTTGTAATAATACTTCGCAACCATCTTACGTTATAAAAATCTTAACAAATCCGTTTTGAAATTCATTCTCGAATTGAAATATTTACATATCATTTTTGGTGTTTTTACTTTTAGGTTCTCAGCAACTGTTAAACAAGACTGGGGAATACGGCTTGGTGTATATGGACCCCATAGGGGCTGTGATCATTTCGATATACATCATAATTAGCTGGTGTATAACCGGCTATAGTAAGTTTTTTTTTATCAATTCCGTAGTAACCTGGTTATACAGGATTATAGTAATTTTTATATAAACATCATTGTTAACTGATATATTATCTGAGATATACAGTAGTAGTTTTTTAGGTCACCTGAGACAAAGTCTCAAGTGACCTATTGCGATTGCATTTTGTCCGGCGTCGTCCGTCGTCCGTCGTGCGTCCGTAAACAATTTACATTTTCGACTTCTTCTCCAAAACCCCTGAACCAATTTCAATGAAATTTTGCAGAAACCTTACATTGCCAAAGGTTAACTAAAATTGTGAATTATATGGTCCCCAGCCCCGAGGGGCCTGAGGGGCGGGGCGAAAAAGGGTCAAATTGACTAAAATTTCAAAAATCTTCTCCACAAGATCCAGATACGGTAGAATCAAATACTCTTCATAGATGGAAGGGTCAAAGGTGCTTTACCAAAATTGTGAATTTCATTACCCTGGGGTCTCACTTTGTTTCCCCCTGGGGATGGGGTAAACTTTACTATAGTTTATATAGGGAAATCACATTTTGGACCAACATTTGTTTAATTGCCATTGGAAGTAATTCAATTTAGGTTAGCATTATTAGTATTGGATAGCAGTTTGATGGTATGCACATATCAGCCCTGACCAACTCCAGCCCCCCCCCTCCCCCGGGGATGATGGGTGGGGGCAAAAAGGGTCGAATTGACTGAAATTTCAAAATCTTCTTCTCAAGACCAGATATGGTAGAATCAAAAACTCTTCATATATGGAAGGGTTTTTAGGTGCTCTACCAAAATTGTGAATTTTATGACCCTAGGGTCTCAAGTTTACCCCTAGGGCAAAATTTGTTATGGTTTATAATGGCAAATGATACTTTGAATATTACATGTTGATAACTTGATTGGAATTATAACCCTTAGTTGTCAGTTTGATACTTTGAAAATTTTGAGCCATCCCTACCCCCAAGGGCTGTAGGGTGTGGCCAAATGGAGTCTGTGTGCTAAAATTTCTTCATTTTCCTTGTTTAGAATCAGAGGTGCTAGTTTCAAATACATTTCAGTCTTAAATCTGCATGCTAGATATTGAATAAGGTGGTTTTATTGTTTTTTGTCACTTTGAATAATTCTTCTGATCATGTTAAAAACAAAAATCAACTCTCTATATCAATATATCAGGCGACCGTTAAGGCCCATGGGCCTCTTGTATATAAACATTATTGTTAACTGATATATTATCTGAGATATACAGTAGTAGTTTTTATATAAACATCATTGTTAACTGATATATTATCTGAGATATACAGAAGTGATTTTTATATAAATATTATTGTTAACTGATATATTATCTGAGATATCTAGTTATTTGTAATGCAAAAAAGTAAGATTTTTTGAGGCTTTAATAACGAATGCTGAATCAAAATTGGTTGGTAATACACCCTTCACACGTTCACACATGAATGTACGTACGCACGCACGCACGCACGCTCACCCACCAAACCCACTTACCAAACTTGAGAGAGGACACATTTACTCCTCATTCCAATACCAAAACAGATAAATAACATTAATGTATGGCTCCTAACTACACAATAAGGAGATGGCATGCGTCCGTATTGACTATGCTGACATACGTAATGCTGGTAAACCATATACATTATCATTATATATTCAAACTGATTTACTGCCAGAACAAACTACCACGAAGAAATAAATACTCGACTTGACATGTAACAAAAATAACAGTAGTGTTCACCTGGCTTATAATTTTCAGCTCAAATTAAGCATCTGACTGGACACACTGCCAAGCCGGACTTTTTGAAGAAGTTGACGTGGATATGTGTGAACCATCACCACAAAGTTCAATTTGTCGACACCGTGAGGGCGTTCCACTTTGGTAGCAACTTTCTGGTTGAAGTGGACATCGTGCTTGCAGAAGAAATGAAACTGGTTGAAGCCCATGATATCGGGGAATCTCTCCAAAAGAAACTTGAGCGCTTGTCGGAAGTTGAGAGAGCTTTTGTACATTTAGATTACGAATATGAACATAAGCCATCAAGTGAACATAAGACTGTCTAGCCGTAAATAGAACCATGATATCAGGAATGTTTGATAAGACTATTATATGTATTTAGTTAGTTGCATGTTTGTAATTTCACTTATAATTTGTATACGTTATCATGATATCGATACTTTTCTGATTATCATTTATTTTACTTAATCAAGTAAGACAATTTACGCCAAATAATGCCTTACCACTCCAATACTAGTTATCGGTTGTATATGGTTCGTTCGCTTTGTTTTTATGTTAGGTACCGTTCAGTACATCTGAAATATTTTATTTAAACGTCTTCACACTTTCGAGCGTTCAATATTGACTACGGGTTAACAGGAGCAAAGATCTTGTTAAGTAGAGATCACTTTGTTCGTCCGTTAATGAGGATGATACGTGCGTATCATTACTTCTAATCGATTCAATATTTTGTTATAAACATAGATATACGTGACAAATATGGACTGGACGTAGTTGTATCTTTTAGCACTTTCAAGTCACTACCCAAAATAACTAGCTCATGTTGAGAGATCAGAATTCAGTACAATGAGTCTGACCCATAACTCTGTTCGCATCAGTATTGCGTTACCCCCAAAAGTAATAGGTTGATGCTTTGTGCAAGTTCCACGTAAGTTATCACCTATCACCTAATAATCCAGATAACAGCTGTAAAATATTTTTGTTGCTTTATAGTGATGTTATTTTACTTCAAAAGCTTATAATCTGTCGTTCTCTGTTGCTATATGCATAGTAAGCAAAGCTTACCAAGAGAAAAATTGCGTACATTAGTGAGGCTTACCGCTTACTTCTTTTTTTTTTACCTGTTTCGGGTTCTTGTTGGTGTTGTTGTTATCGTTTAAAATTAGCTAAATGAAAAACAGGTTTGGTCATATTTTAACATTTAATATTCACGTTACCTGTTTAAAGTAATGTAAAATCTAATTAAAGTTAAGGAAAAGCAACTTATTTTGATTGTTCTTCGTTTAATGTTGTTGATAAAGATCTATTATAATTCCTTTTTAGAAGAGTTTTCAAAACCTTTACGTTTAGTTTGTGATGTTTCTTGAAAATTCAATTTGCAAACTGTAAGGTTACATAATGTACTTTAATGTAAACGATTGACAAGATGAAAATTCTTCTCATTTGCCAAATGGATGGTGCTATATTAAAATGAAGAATAGTTCTCCTTAACAAAAAAGGCTGTGATTACACTGATGATCCTATTTTGTATTTATGTGAACATTTGATATTGGTACATGTAGGAGTTAAGTATGTGCTTTGCTTCTGTTTTGGAAATATCGTTCACTACGGATGAAGCCAGAAATAAAAAAAAAATATCGATACAACGTTAAGCTTGTTTCCCACAACAATGCAAAATCATAGATGAATCATTAGGCCATGATAATGACTGTAGCGTAACATTTTACAATAGTATTGAGGCCTTCTAAGAGGAACTCTTGCTAGGTGATTGTCAGGTTGAGTATTGGTTCCATGAATTCTTTCTTTTCAAAATACAATGTGTATGATTGCTAAAATTAAAAGCAATGACAAGATAGTTTAGTTCCTATCTCTGCTCGTTAGTGAATTTATAAATTATCCATTGTTGATCAGAATAGACAAAAGCTGGAACCGAGCAGACATCAAAAGAAATCATAAGGAAATGGCATTTTTTGTTTATTTCATCTGAATACTTCAATAGCGTAGTTGATAGCACCCGACAAAACTTTAGAAACACAAACTCATTAAAGAAAAAAGTTGTAAAAAGTTCACTTTAACGAGACGGAAAGTTCTGTATATATGTTATATATATAGCTTGTCATGATCTGATTGAATGCATTTATCTTATTAAGAATTAAATAAAAATTAATGAGACAATGTGTGATTCGTATTTATTTGTATCTTTCATTCCTCTCAACTGCATGTGGTAGTGTCAAGACATGATTCGGTTGTCCACTTGTCGAAACAAGTTTAATATCGAATTTATACAAATATATCTGCTTTTTCATGATGGTGTGAATACGGTTGACGATGTAGTCAGTGCCAGCGGATATATATTTACAGTGACTTATCGTTATGAGTTTTACTTGTCTCTGGCAAGAATAACTAACTAACTAACTAACTAACTATATATATATCTATTTGAATATGTTAACTTTAATCGTTGTCAGGAAAGTGACCCACAATTTATACAAAATTGAGTTCCCTTGGCCCAAATATGCTCCAGACTAAATAAGGATAAATTCTCTTAATCCCTACGGTAGAAGAGGGATTTTAAAGGTTTTACCTCTATTTCCAATATTGGGACCTGCCCTTCTGCCCCAAGGGGGGCCACACCCACCATTTATACAAAATTGAGTCCCCTTGGCCCAAGGATGCTCCAGAATTAATTCATATAAAGTTAATCCCTATGGTAGAAGAAGGATTTTAAAAGATTTACCTCTATTTTCCTTTTTTGGCCACGCCCCTCTGCCTCCTGGAGGGCAACATCCACCATTTATACAAAATTGAGTCGCCTCGGCCCAAGGATGCTCCAGACTTTATTCATATAAAATCCCTTAATCCCTTTGGTAGAAGAATTTTAAAGGCTAACCTGTATTTCCCCTATTGGGTCCCGCCCCTTTGCCCCTAGAGTGGCCACACTCACGGTTTATACATAACTAAGTCCCCTTGGCCCAAGGATGCTCCATACTAAATAAGAATAAAATCCATTAATCCCTATGGTAGAAGAAGGATTTTAAAGGTTTTACCTCTATTTCCCCTATTGGGCCTCGCTTTTCTGCCTCCATGGGGGCCACACCCACGGATTATATAAAATTGAGTCCCATTGGCCTAAGGATGCTCCAGACCAAATTTAGTCAATATCTACTTAGCCGTTTAGGACTAGTAGCGTTTTAAAGGAAAAGTTGACGGACGGACGACGGACGCTGCGGTATAACATAAGCTCACCATGGTCAATCGGACCAGGTGAGTTAAAAAAATACTACAACGAAACCGCTATTTAATTACTTTAATACAGCATATATCTTCGTGGTACTATAACGCGTCGATGACAGTTGGCAAACTGATCTTCAGCATTACTATTGATATATATTTCAGATAAGTAAATGTACATATACTGATGTCTATACACGTATGTACTGTACTTGTGCGTACAAGGTTATTCAATATGTAGTTTAAACTATTTCATGAGATTGGTCTCTCTGGCCTGCATGCTATGCCTCCATGGTTTCAATCAACAGTAGTTTCGTAGCGGATTCGTCATGTAAATGTGCATGGTTGACAGTCGCCGCGTGGCGTCCATAAGACACTGGGGTACCGGGTTCATGAAGGTCTGAAAACGAACATCATTGGTTGATGTACATTCGTATCAAAGACTGGAGAAACATATAAGATAAAATGAACCGGGAATCTGTCATCACATTTATTAAAATCTCTTTATACGGACAGTTGGAAAGGAGAAACTTAATATTCCCAGAGGTTATCATGGAAATGTAGTTATTATTCTATCAGTTCTAACATTTTATTAATCCATATTAAGTGATTTGAACCAATATCCCGAATGACGAAATTTGTGTATATTCTGTAACTGGGGGATGTTCCAGATAGAGTTTACTCAGCATGTTTCGTATATAAAAGTAATACCATTGTGCTCCTTTACAGGTTTTGTCGGTTGTCTACCTATAGTTAATATGCGTCTGCTATTTCACGTCTTTGCACTAGGACATATAAAAAATTGTATACTGATGACGAGGCCATTCAAAAACCAAGGTCATAGAACTTTCTCAGTTATTTGGTATATTTTATTTGAATTTGATATGTCCTGTAAGGCTTTGTGTCAACAATGAGTCAACTGTCTTCCAAATTTCTGTTATTTTATTGCATCTGAAGAATAAATGAATTTGATTTTCCTGAACTATGTGACAAAGTGTACATAAACCGTTTGACAGTCTCATTTTAAATAATTTTGCCTCCGTAGAAATAATATTATGTAAGCATTTCCATTGGAAGTTGTTACATTTCCTGTTTGCTATAGATGATTTTAAAGAAGTCCAAATTTTAACCCAATCTATGTCATCATTTTGATAAACAGCATCCCAGCTATTTTGTGATTTGGGATAGTATTTCTTATTCAAAATTAGTTCTTTCAATATTTTATTCTTTAACCTTTTCGGATCTATTACTTCATCGATATTATTTATTTTTATGTGTAGTTCATCAGTTATAACTATGGGTTCAATTTCTGGAGTCTCATGGTTAGTTGATTTTATTTCTTGTAACCAATTGTTACATGAAGAAATTGCCTTCTGGACTATGGAGAATTCTGATATCCAGTTATCTTTGAATCGTAACTTCTCCAATAATTCTTGAGAATTATAAAATTATTTCTTTCTTCACTCCATATGTCTTTTATTTTCATTATGTTTGATTTTGCCCAGTTTTTTAGGAAGATCGGATTTTTTTGGAATGTGATATTTGTGTTTCCAAATATCCTTTGATTAAGTATTTCATTTTTTGTTTTGACTAAAAATAATGACCGTTGCCATTTTATATGAACGACGTCTGAGTTACCTGGATTAAATTTTTTGGAGGATGTTCCATCCTTGGTGATGCCATGTCCGTACCGAGAGCCCAACCAAAAGCGTTCAGTTTTCCACCATTGTACAGCAGGAAGACGGGGAAGAAATCGTCACATGACATGTCCACTTTGACGTTATACCAGTAATGTACACCTACAAAAGGCGAGGAAACGGATTATTGATGTGCGTAACTGGACAGAAAAGTTCCTTCACTGATTTTATCTAGGTATTTTTACAGGTGGGTTGTAATCTGTCCCAAATGCTTAATTTCATAGCTTCGGAAATTAAGTACCTATCTGCCAAGACGTATCTCCTACAGTCCTGTATCTGAGCTTGTCAGGTTAAATAAGGTCAAATCGAAGCAATGTCACGTCTTCAAAATGAGAACCAGTGTAGTGACAACAAAACAGCAAGGCACAGAAGGAGAAAAAAGGAATTTTCCATACGAGACCACGATAGCGACCGTAAAACCTGCTTATTATCTTCAGTAACTTCTTCACAAACATGCATTTTCTTAAATCCTGAACCGTAAGTTTGTCTGTCAGCATACTTTATCTTTTACAGAAATCGTGATATTTCGAGTGTGTAGGTAAATCTCGAATCAAACGCAACATGAATACACCGCAGGTGGTAGAAGCAGGGATATTACTATCAATAAAGGCAAAATGAATGATCGGGAAATCAATATCGTCACTCTTATCATTCAAAACATCTTAGTTGTAAAAAGATCAAGGTAAGCGGCCCTTGAAGAAGACATTTTATTTTCTTGTCTTACAGTTAATGAAGGTAAATACAAACGACGTAGACAATACAATGTATTGTTTAAAGACGACACATCATATCTGAAAGTGAAATTGTTAAAGCTAGCAAAGTCTTTCTTACCTAAATAAAAATACAAATAAACTTTTTCAAATAAAACCAAAAACGTTAGCCATGAGAAGCGCTTTGTTGGTTCCTATGGCTTTGCCAACATTTTGCTGGGAATCTTTTGCTAAATTGTAATATAAGATTAGTAGCTGACTTCATTTAACTTAAGAGATATTCATGGCATCCGATACCCGATACAACATACCCATAGTATAGAAGCAATGACCTCGAGTCCACTTTGTTGAAGTCAGTACCGTCTCAATCTTTGGGATTACCAGGTAGTCGGCTACAGGATCAGTACCGTTCTGGATATAGAGAGAGTCACCAGTACCGTTAGCGGCGTACTGGGCCGACGTCCTTCCACTGCTGCAGATGGTGGCTATGAAATTATTGCTTCATAATTTGACTATGAATTAGAATATGACATCACTTCTGTACGCGATGTTGTGCTCTGAATGTCTAACTCTTTCCCTTTTCTTCAGAGTTATCGACATAATGTTGATAATAAAAACAGCAAATTTAAACAAAAAGGGTCAACACGGATTGCGTTTGTTTGAGTTGCTTGGTATTGTGAATTAACTTATTTGGTTTATTTTCTGTATGTTTCGTAAGTGAAAGCATCGCTATAAATACATTGTGACAGCTGTGCCATTCACTGTGATCAATGTCAAAATCAATGTTTCAGCTGATTTTTATGTTTACCTGGGTTAGTGAAGTAGGCAGTCAGGAAATGCCTGTTGTACACACGCACAAATGGGTGATTTATCTGGTTGACAGGAGGAAATATAACGCCGCTGTTATGAGGCACCTGTCATCAAAAGGAATTTGATGAATTTATAAGAAGAGAAAAAAATGATCCTAACTTAACACAATTACACAAAGGAGAAAATTGAACATAAAATCGATACAAAACCAAATATGAATTGTTACGTTCTTCTACTTTGTCTGCGTGCATTTCTTACAAAATAATACATGTGCAATGCTTTTCCAATTTCTTCTATGCATTGAAAATATATACACGTGAACCGTCTATTATAGGTCTTGGACGAAAACCTTTGTCAAATGAGAATATACGTGTGCATGGATATATCTCAACTTTTCCAAATATATCCATGTTAAATTGAACACGAACACTTGTCACAGTACCCAGAAATACAACACCAGCTGTGACATCATCAAACTGGTTAAAAAAATCAAGATAGTACGTGACAACTGTTTACACGCGCAAAAACAGTCTAATTCAAATAACTCGATGATCGAGGTCACGTTGTCATCAGGCCAATGAAGTAAAAAACAAAAATACAAATATACATTCAATTACATTTTCACGGGGTAGAACAGATATACTGCATACCGGGAAATACTTTTCGCCCTTTACTGAAAAAATCCACATTCGCCCAGTGTTAAATTCGCCCTTCTAAGACCCTTCTAAGACTAAGAAATGGTAAATGGTGTAGTATGCTAACATTCGCTGTAATGATTAAGTTCTCTCATTACTTAGGGCGAAAAGGCAAAAAGTTAAGCTGAAACAAAATTTCCCATTATATGGTTGACATCAGCATGTATGGAATTCGAAAAACAATGGTTTTATAAATGAAATCAGACTGAACCTTTTTTTCACATGTTCCATCATAATCATTTTTCTTAAATAACAAACACAAATGCAGGAGAAGTTTCACTAAAAACATAATCCTAGCTATCACCATTATAACTAGTGTATACAATAACAGATACTCCATAGGAACTTGTGTTGCCTACACAACGTATGTTAGCCAGCATGTCGGCTGTCAACACAGTACAGAAAACACAGTGTATATAATCAGTACAAAATGAATCATAGGACAATTTATTGAAAACGATCAAAACTTTTAATATGCGCCTCTCTCTGAAAAAACCCCATAAAAACTTTGTCTTAATAGGTTATCATCAAAACCATGAACCATATACGTGTATGTGTAAATGTTGTATGGAATGTCCAACAAAACTGATAATCTAAAATAATGACGCAAACAATGGCCTTGTAAACGTTGAAATGCAACAATATAAAGGAGGATACTTATGATGATCATCATTGTCTATTGTGATAATAGATAATTATGATGATTATCATTGTCTATTGTGATAATATCAAAAACGTGCTCTTTTATATATCATCTATTACATCATTTACTGCTTTTATTTATTACTTAATGAAATAAACTATATTCTGCTATTTTTGAATTTTCCCATACGAAATCGGCACGATATTCTGAGACAAATGTTATATTGCATGGATACTTACTCCTATCTGGATCCCAGCAATATATCCATTGACTCCGTACAAAAGCACTAGAGAATAATCTCCTCCCTTCACAAATCTCTTCCCGTTGATCTCGGGAATTTCTACAAGTTTAACGATTGTTAAGTTTTGGAGAGGCTTAAGTGTACTCTGAAAAGCTTGATTAAGGTCGCCATCATGTGTAGATTATCAAATATGAAAATCAGTGCCATTATGATCTGCGACATCGCGGAAGCCACCATTGTACTGAGATGCTTTTTCTGACTTGAATACTTGTGAAAACTTTAGGATCATTAACTGAACAATTGGACATGATTATAGCTTTATTGATGACTTAACCTACACAAGTTAAATGGCAATTATCTCTTAAATCTAACAATAAATAGTTTCTTACCTCCAGAATCTGACACGATTTTAATTTTATTTGTATTAATGTTATTGCCTCCAAACTTCAACACTAGTCTAGTTATGTTTGTATCCTTACCTCCACAATCCGACACCATGGTGAACTCCTGCTCAGCAGCTTCATCGACTGTTCTTGGCATTGCATCAAATGAATAGGAACCAAAAGGGTTAAGTGACCATGTCACTGTCAACGTTGAGAGAAAATGACAAATTATTAGAAAAAAACAATACGGTCAAATATGTGTTAAAAGACCACCGAGTGCAAATTTCAAAATGGTTTATTAACATTAATGATCTCTTTATACAGTATTAATAGTAAATTGCTTTGTAGAGTTGAGAAATGCCGGTTCCTAAGAAAAAGGATTGTTTCATAGGGGTGGTTTCTCCCCTTCGACTGTGTTATCAATTAACAGCTCATTATATTGATACCTGCATATGTTTAGCTGTATAATACTGAACTCTGTATCTTATTCACGCGGTATGGAAGGCTTACCACACATGTTCTTCGTTTGACTTCACACATGTTACAGACGGTACACATTCGTCCAATTATCCCATAAAGTTGTATTTGACGTCAAAATGAAAACGGATATAGGCTATGCTAAATCTAGCTTTGCAGAATGTACAAAACAATAATTACTAGTTAGTCTGTTGCTTTGTTTGATAACAAACAAATTATTGCTTATTCTTTTCATTTAATATGTTGCTGAACACGATGTATAGAAATTCTTGATTCGGTTTATGAAACAGATAATCCTTATTTAGTATTTTGTTCAGAAGGATATACAGATATACAAACAAGATAATTCTGTTGCATCTTAGGATTATCATGACCCACTTTTGTTTGCTCTATTTATTAAAGGGATATACAAAACAGAACATTCTTACAGAACAGAGCATGCTCCTTTAGCCTTTAAAAGATTCAGACCTTTGAACAAAGTAAATATTACTGAAAATGCTTACGTACACACGTACTTAAACAGATTGTGTTATTACCATGTAATCATGTCTATGACACACTTCCGTCCTCAAGGTGATCGTGTATTCTGAATAAACATTAAAGTTTAAACAAAAACATACGAAAAGCTTATATATTACTACTGACATATCGAATATCAATGTAAAGAACCGTTACCAACAGTAATAGCGTTGATATTTATTCTAATAAAAAAAGATATTATTTTTTTATTTAGATTCATGTACTTAGAGGAAATACTTGAAATATCCATGCAAGTAGCCTAAACTAACACTAATGACCTTTATTAGTTACAATGTTACTATATATGACCTGAGCAATATCGTATATACAAAATTACAAGATATTAGGATAACTTGAGAGAACAATTATCCAAGAGATCGCAATATACTCAGATCAGCCTACGTAAACATGGGCGTGTGCTTCAACACCACCTAGTTACCGCTTCAACACCAACTAGTTACCGCTTAAACACCACCTAGTTACCACCTAGTTACCGCTTCAACACCACCTAGTTACCGCTTAAACACCACCTAGTTACCGCTTAAACACCACCTAGTTACCGCTTAAACACCACCTAGTTACCGCTTAAACACCACCTAGTTACCGCTTAAACACCACCTAGTTACCGCTTAAACACCACCTAGTTACCGCTTAAACACCACCTAGTTACCGCTTAAACACCACCTAGTTACCGCTTAAACACCACCTAGTTACCGCTTAAACACCACCTAGTTACCGCTTAAACACCACCTAGTTACCGCTTAAACACCACCTAGTTACCGCTTAAACACCACCTAGTTACCGCTTAAACACCACCTAGTTACCGCTTAAACACCACCTAGTTACCGCTTAAACACCACCTAGTTACCGCTTAAACACCACCTAGTTACCGCTTCAACACCACCTAGTTACCGCTTCAACAACACTTAGTTACCGCACACATACCTGTTATTAGCAGCACTATAGTATTTAATACACTGTTATCAAATCTACACAACTATTGCATGTGTGATAGGAGGGTGAATATTGAACGAGTACGGTACAAATCAAGAGCATACTGTACGAATACATTGTAGAGATGGACAAAACATATATAAAACAATGTGAAATGACAGATAATAAGAAATATAAAAAATTTGACCTTTGAGACTGTTCCAGTCTGGACCTGAAAAATACATAATATATCAATGTACACGTATAGAAATATGCTATTATACCAATTAAACATATATCAATGATCAAATATACAAGTTAACCTTACATTGTTTACAGTTTGATGAATATACAAACATATAGATATACAATTATAAAAATATAATTTATCAGCAATAACAAAAACCAGTTTACTCAATATCAATATTCTGTAAAATAAGTGTAGAACAAATACAAACATCCTGCAACATTTGTAACGGTTTACTTACGTTGACGCCTTCCGAAGAACAATCCGTTGCTGATTGAGATTGCATAACTCAATGGTATCAAGAAGAGGACTTTCATCCTAACCAATCTCAAACTATCCCCTCCGAGTTAAACTGACTGATGACTAGTTGAATGCGCCCACACATAGTGTAAATACTCTGTTTTGGTTATTTCGGATGTGTACTACCGGTCTAATTTTGTGTGCTTCCTGTGAAATGTCAAAGTATTTAAAGTGGTACTTAGCTGTTAACCTAGAATCTGGTCGAGATGTGGTGCTCAGGTCATACACCGTACACACGGCATTCTCGCATTGGCATTTTATAACGCACAAACTTCATTTCAATTGAGACATTACAGCGTCATTACAGTTAGGTACTATTCGTTTTTAATGATGGTCATATGTATTTTATCATATCGCGACATATCAGCTTATTATCAAGTAAGAGCGGATTAAAAGAAAGATTTCAATAGCATTTTGTAGAATGACACTTTTCTGTTACACTTTTAGTTTTCGTTATATTTTGGGTTACTTTGCTCTGCAAAAATCACCGTATCTAAAACAATATTTTCATTATCAGCCATGTGATAAAAATGTCATTTCGATGTCTATGCTTAGTAATTAAAGAGTTTATCAATATTCTTTAAAACATATCTGGATACTTTAAGTATCATTATGTAGACCTTTTAACCGTTTAAAATTGATGTGGTGAGCCAACTTAATACATGCTCTTACAATAATTAGTTTCCTAACGTCAGATGAAACACATAGCAACCCCTTACTATGGATGATGAGATGGGGTATACTAATAAACAAAATCATTACAAAGGAAGCTAGAAGGTCATGTTATCATAGACCAAATATATTACTACGGAAGCGTTAAGGAGAAAAAAAATAGACAAAAATACATTATTATGGAAACTGTAAAGGGACATTACAATATATACATACATTATTATAGAATCTGTAAAGGGACATTACAATAGATACATAAATTATTATAAAATCTGTAAATGGACATTACAATAGATAAACACATTATTATGGAATCTGTAAAGGGACATTACAATAGATACATACATTATTATAGAATCCGTAAAGGGACATTACAATAAATAAACACATGTACATGGAATCTGTAAAGGGACATTACAATAGATACATACATTATTATGGAATCTGTAAAGGGACATTACAATAGATACATACATTATTATAGAATCCGTAAAGGGACATTACAATAAATAAACACATGTACATGGAATCTGTAAAGGGACATTACAATAGATACATAAATTATTATAGAATCTGTAAATGGACATTACAATAGATACATACATTATTATAGAATCTGTAAAGGGACATTACAATAAATAAACACATATACATGGAATCTGTAAAGGGACATTACAATAGATACATAAATTATTATGGAATCTGTAAAGGGACATTACAATAGATACATACATTATTATCGAATCTGTAAAGGGACATTACAATAAATAAACACATGTACATGGAATCTGTAAAGGGACATTACAATAGATACATAAATTATTATAGAATCTGTAAATGGACATTACAATAGATACATACATTATTATAGAATCTGTAAAGGGACATTACAATAGATATATACATTATTATGGAATCTGTAACGGGACATTACAATAGATATATACATTATTATGGAATCTGTAACGGGACATTACAACAGATAAAGACATTTACATGGAATATGTAAAGGGACATAACAATAGATACATACATTATTATAGAATCTGTAAAGGGACATTACAATAGATAAACACATTATTATGGAATCTGTAACGGGACATTACAACAGATAAAGACATTTACAAGGAATATGTAAAGGGACATTACAATAGATACATACATTATCATGGAATCTTTAAAGGGACATTACAATAGATACATAGATTATTACATTGTATATACATTATAATGGAATCTTTAAAGGGACATTACAATATATACATTGTATTTACATTTACATGAAATCTGTAAAGGGACATTACAATAGATAAACACATTTACATGGAAGCTGTAAAGGGACATTACAATAGATACATACATTATTATGGAATCTGTAAAGGAACATTACAACACATACATACATTATTATGGAATCTGTAAAGGGACATTACAATAAATAAACACATTTACATGGAATATGTAAAGGGACATTACAATAAATAAACACATTTACATGGCATCTGTAAAGGGATATTACAATAGATAAACACATTTACATGGAATCTGTAAAGGGACGTTACAATAGACAAATGCATCAATATGGAAGCTGTGATGGGATATACGCCTTGTTTAAATGAATTTGAACTGACATTAGCCACTAAAATTCCTACTATCTTTATAATAATTAATTAATCCTTACTCCTGATGAATCTTAACGGCATATTTCTTTTTCTGTTCAGTGAATAGAACTTTGCTGATCGCACCCTTGTATGTCTATCTCTGTAAGAGGCAATTATGATCTCAAGTCAATGCATTACTTATGTTTATTAATACAACCGCACGTCTAAGAATACTTAAACGTTAAACGGTGAAGTTTGAGTCTAAACTTATCACCGAAGGCTAATGTTTCCATTGTGTCTCAGAGGCATCATATATGATCAATCAATTGTTTTTTTGACATCCATGCAACTCTATCGTAATATATGGCATTATATTTGACCATTAGTAAGCACCTTAATTTGCTCTTCTGCAAAGTGTATTAACTGATTGTATAAACACGCAATGCAAAGCGCACTAGGGTGGCATATCTAGCTGGTATGAGTGTTATATCAAATAATGTAATAGTATGCAATAATGTGACGTTTCATCGCTGCATTAGTTATGTAATTGGTTGTTTTTTAAATTCAAAAGAGCCGGTGGTAAACACCAATAAGGGCATTAAATCTTTGTTATGAATAATTTCCGACTGCGTGATGTTACCCACGCCTCATATAAAGGATGATAATTATCATCAACTGAAAACAGTGAAACTAGTTTTATCAGCTTTATATTTATGTAACAATGAGGACAGTTAATCACACTCTACCCAACGTGTGCAGCATGCCATGATGTCTGTGTCAATCTAGGAAATATGTTGATTATCAATAGTCTTTAACCGTGTGAGATATAGTTGGAAATCGGTCCTTGACGACAGTACAGTCTGTTCATGGTCATCACATAGCCAGACAGGCTAAGGCATCATTAAATTTTGTATTACATTGTCTTTGTGAAACTTGAAAGATGTATATTCTGTTTGCGATATCTATTTTGTGCATAGATGTAACACTTTTATAGCATTTCGGAGAGTGTTTCCGTTACAGCAGTCTCTCAATCAGAAACAGAAAATAACGTTGAAGTGTTATTTTACTTTTAAATTTCAGTTCAGATCATTTTGCGTTTAGCTCCTGGATCTTTTTGTTCGTATTTCGATAGCTTTGCTTATTGTCAAACATATTCATTTTGATTATCAGTCTTATGTGCTTGGTTTTGCCAAGCGGATGTCTGAATTCATAAACATATTTTAATCAAATAAATCATCGGGACATAGATGTTGAATCACTGGCTTAATAGGGCGGGGTTTATCCAAGCTCTTACCGGAGAGGCTGAAACGAAAAGAAACCAGGGAGGTGAAAAAGTGATTATAGGGCCATTTACAAATGAACAAACAAATCTGACGATGCCAAGTCTTAAGATGAATTACAGGAACTGACCTTATAGTTGGAATAGGCCAAGAGGACAAGAGATAAACAAACTGTAAAGCCGTGCTCAGTTTGAATCCCGTGGGTTTCAGATGAAAATTAAATAGATAAATCGAAATTTAACTGGATCGGTGCTCTCACGATTCGTGATCTATAACACAAAAACCACAAAATAGTTGACTATGTATGGCGGGACCCCGTCTCACCATCCGAGACAAAATGACTATCTAGTAGGGGATTATACAAACATTAAAAAAACCCATTTAACATACTGTTGGTAAACGCAAACTTAACGGATTCTGCCCAATATTTAACTATTTAAATATGATATTTTGGCTAGCTTCTACTTTCGTTTGGCTTAGTGTATTGCTTTGAGAACTTATTGTTATGATTTCAAAGATTGAGAACTACGTTCAAAGTCACATTCCTGACAAATAAAGCAATCCAAATCCTACACATTTTCCTTAAGCACTATCGCCACTTATTAACAAATATTGCAGGACTTAAAGGCAGACTAAGGTTTGAAATGAACTGTAAAATGGCATAGTTTGTGTTTATGAACGACTACGTCCAATTCTAAGACTGAACAAAAATCGCCTACTGCCAAACTCGTTGGAGAATCTTTTACCTATGCATTGTCGGATTGCGCAGTGGATAACGCACTGGACTTTCACCAAGACGGCCGGGATTCGAACTCCTAATAAGACGTGAAAAATAACTGGGTCACCTGCAAGATCACCTGGGTTTCTGCGGGTATTCCGGTTTCCTCCCATATCAAGACCCTCTGCGCGCTTCTATCTGGGCTAACAAGAGTTGTAAATATAAGTTAGAAAGCTTCACTATTTTTGTGAAGTAAATATACACATTTCCCTGATAGGCAATGGACCCTAGTTAGAGTAAACCATGGCCTTTGTATCACCACTGTGTATAAGCCTTGACCATTTGAATATGTAATTTGAACTATTTGAACTATTTGTGCTCTGGTAGCTACCTAAAAAAAACAAGCTTATTCACGACGCATGCATGACATTTCAAATGTTAGACTCATACACATCTGACAAATGTTACTCCTATCTTGACCGTAAATCTAACTTGGCTAATGTGGATTTAAGGTGCGTTTACCGGTCCTTCAGTAGGGATAAAAACCAAACTATAGGTAAGAAAATAAGTTACACTTTGGCTATTCAAATACTTTTAAAGAATAATCCAAATGCGTCTGTGCAAAATTCAATGTGACCGCCATAAGTCATCTTTGATTTTTTCCGAATAATTGAAGATGACTTTGAAAACTGTAGCAGAGCGCTACGTCGCATCTTGAGGATCTTACGTCAGCTTGAAAACTTAAATACACGATTAGGGCCTATGGAAATCGAGATCATTAGGAGTGAGTTTTCTATGAATATGCCTAAAGTGATCAGAAGTGGGCGTACCTTCCTCCGACGTATATTGAGCAAATAACACATTTCTCTCTTCAGGATATTATGAAACCTGACATAATGGATAAAAAGTATGTCTTTTTTTAACTAGAAAGTGAATTTGATATAAGAT